TATATATATATATATATATATATATATATATATATATATATATATATATATATATATATATATATATATCCCTAATATTTTAACTCTTTGTCCTATGTAAAGATGTTTGCGAATTGCTGTACATCCTGTCTGTTTTAAGCAATGTGTAAGCGAGGCGCATAACTAAAGCACTCTGTGCTGGACTTTAGACTGGCTTTGCTTTGGTCTATTGAACAATCTATTATAGTTTCTCAAAATAGCTACGCGCCAGCAATGTGCTTACCCATGTCTCCTTTTTTTAGAGCAGAACGCCTATGGGCGCACATATAAGCACAAATGCATTTGCTAATTGAACAGCATGGTGCAAAACATCAAAACGACTCTTGCGCCAAGCTGAAACTGGCAAACATCAATTGCGTTGCGCCTTGTGCCGCATTGCGCCGGGATTATAATTGGGCCCATCGTGTTTGGTTTTATGAATCAATTACTTTTGTTCTATAGTTTATTACATTTTTGGCTAAGCACACATTTATGTTCATTAAAAATTATGTTAACCTTATAAAATTAAATAAAGTTGCATTGCACCCACAAATGAAAATTTACTGACATTCATGTCATTTCAAAACAGAATGATTTTCTTTCAAGTTATTTTTTTAGATGTAACCAAATTGTTTTGGGGGCTGCAATAACATTATTTCTAAATATGAAAAAAGTGCCAATACTAGCATACAAGTTCATTTGTATTAATGTCTATGTTGAATAAAATAAAAAAAGTAGAATTTTTTATAATTAACATGCAAAATATATAGCCCATTTTACAGTAATTTGCTGTACTCATGCGAATTTTATTAATTTTACAATAAAACTCTGAATTCAACTCATTACTGTGAATTTTTACAGTTAAATCTTGTGAAGTGCTGCTAATGTAGATTACTGTGAAAAATTACAGTAGCATGTTGTGAAAATCTGGATTTTTTTTACAGTGTAGTATTAAGTTTAAAGTGACATTTAAAGGCTAACTTTAATTAGCCAGGTTAGGGTAATAAGGCAAATAATTGTATAATAACGGTTTGTTCTGTGGACTATAGAAAAAAAATATTGCTTAAAGGGCCTAATAATATTGACCTTAAAATGTTTTTAAAATTAAAAACTTATTTTATTCTAACCAAGAAGACTTTCTCCAGAAGAAAAAATATTATAGGAAATACTGTGAATCACATGATGTGTGTGACACATCATTCAGGAAATATTTAAAAAAGAAAAGAAATTCACAAAAGGATAAATAATTCTGATTTGCATATTGAAATCATTATATTATTAAGCAATTTTAAAAATGTAAACACCAGTGAATCAGATATTTACTGTAACTTTCTGAGCTCTTTCAGCGTGACTGACCCATCATCAACCCAAACCTTTTAATCCTGCTGCACAACAAACATCAAGTATATATTTTGGGCAACTCCAGATGTCGTATTCGGTCATTGCGTTTGATTCCGACACACTGTCCCACTAGTGTCTCCATGGAGCGGCCTGTTCAGTCTTGCTGTCTTGTGAGAGTAGTCCACTGACAGCCTGAGAGACAGAACATAATGCATCTCTGTCTCAGACAATAGCACTCACTGTCTCTCTGTGTGTGTGGTGGGGAGACAGGGAGCTGGATGACACCCAATGGGAGGATTTCACTGCTGTTCTGTGATGTAAAGACTGACTGACTGTGTGTTCACTGAGGAATGCGGAGCCTGCATAAACCTGAGGCCTTCATTTACTCGCTTGCTTTCTCACCTTCACACTGTCAGAAGGCGTGTAGAGATTGCTCATATTCTCACACATTTATAGATGCAAATAAACACACACACATCTCTCACCAGCCCTCATTCATATCCTCACATACAGGGCTTTCCACTATTATTGCCAACCTTCATAAATACGAGCAAAGAAGACTGGAAAAATTTATTTTATTGTACTTAAACTTAAATTGTTTAATTTTTATTGTTTGCTCTTGTTTGTAATGTATGTAAAATACACTATTAGAGCGTTTATTTTCCTAGCACACATTGTTATTCTTTAGCAGGCCAAAGTTGGCTAATGATAACCTTTATTTGGCCCGCCATCGTATGTTTCCCAACCCTGAGGGAAACAGCAATCTCGCCCAGCAATCAGGAAACTCTCATCACTTTCATTTAAAGAATTACTGTAACAGAAACATATGAGGATGTGTATTAACAAATTAAGTCACTTTGTCTTAAATGTGACCAGTGGCCATCCATGCTACTAATGAATTTATTATGAAGATCATATAAAACACTTACCCAATATTGCAAATCTACTTTATTCGTTTAGTTTATCATGTTTATTTAACTTTCATCTATATAGAGAAAGGTATAGATAGAAAGACAGACAGACAGAAAGACAGATAGATAGACAGTTGAAATCAGAATAATTACCCCCCCCCCCCCCCCCTGATTTTTTTCTTTTTTAAATATTTCCCAAATGATATTTAACAGAGCAAGGAAATTTTCACAGTATGTCTGAAAATATTTTTTCTTCTGGAAAAAGTCTTATTTGTTTTATTTCAGCAGAATAAAAGCAGTTTTTTTTATTTTTAAAACCCATTTTAAGGTCAAAATTATTAGCCCCTTTAAGCTATATTTTTCGACTGTCTAAATAACAAACCATCGTTATACAATGACTTGCCTAATTACCCTAACCTGCCTAGTTAACCTATTTAATCTTGTTAAGCTTTTAAATGCCGCTTTAAGCAGTATAGAAGTGTCTTGAAAAATATCTAGTCAAATATTATTTACTGTCATCATGGCAAAGATAAAAAACTCAATTATTAGTAATAAGTTATTAAAACTAGTTTGTTTTGAAATGTGTTGAAGAAATCTGCTTTCCTTTGGACAGAAATTAGGGGAAAATAAACAGAGGGGCTAATAATTCAGGGGGGCTAATAATTCTGTCTTCTACTGTAGATAGATAGATAGATAGATAGATAGATAGATAGATAGATAGATAGATAGATAGATAGATAGATAGATAGATAGATAGATAGATAGATAGATAGATAGATAGATAGATAGATAGATAGATAGATAGATAGATAGAATAAATTAAACTACTTATTCAACATGCCGTCACATGTGATGTCATCTGCGGTAGTTATTCATGGAGGCACAAGCACATTCAACAGATTATTGACTTGAAAAGTTGTTTTGCAATGTACAGTATTTTGAATGAACGCTGTTTGTTTTCAGCTCAAAATGGTATGAGCCTTCAAGTTTCCTTGGGTATCCTTCTTGTTTCTGGTGGATCATATTGCAAGCAGCACAAAACTGTATTCTGTATTTACACAGTGCTCATGCGTGTAACCACAAGAAAACAACATTATAACAGAAGTGCTGTAAAAAGCTTTTTTTTTTTTTTGGCCACTTACACTAGACAGACTGTCATTGGGTAATGTTATCAAAATTTAAAATAAAGTATGATGTAGCATTTTTTGTAGTGGTTTTTAATGAGGGACTATTATTAGCTAAATTTAGCAGTTTTTACAAGTGTTTAAAAATTAGTCCATTGGGATCTCACTCTAAAAAAAGGTTTGATAATAGTCTTCTGTAGTTTGTACTAAGACTGACGGACAATGAAAAGTTGCTATTCTCTTGGTTAATATGGGTAGGAACTGTACTTTTATTACAGCATAATAATCAAGGAATTTGGCTGTGCCGTGGCTGCAGCTGGCGCAATGATATTATGCAACCATGTTACCTACTTATCTAGCTAGGGAACTATTTTAAGGTGCTTTGCAATATCATTGTGAGCTGCTAATAGTCTAAATTGATTCAATGATTTAAGCTAAGCTTAGTTAGGAGTGTTCCCATTAGACCTGGAGATTGGCTGAATTGATTAATACATGGTAAAACTGTTAAACTCTAGGGGAGATGTAAAAGCACGCCATGATTTTGCCAAGTATGATGCGATCTTGGATTAACACCTACAGTATGTTGATCCTGGAACATCATTTATGTTCGAAAATGTACTCCATACCTATTCCCTACCTCTAAACCTAACCATAACCGTACATTATTTCCAAAAATCAGAGGAGAATAATAGTTGAACAACACTCATGTATAAGCTGCAAGCCTAAACTCAACATAAACAGTAAACATAATACTTAATTCTTATTGACTGATAATGTTGTTCCAGGATCAACATAGAT